TTGGAAGAGCTGCCTGAGTTTGGGTTCCTCATTGCCTTGTCTGGTTGCTCACAGGAGCATGGTCAATGTGCTATGTCCCGCAGCCAGGCTTGCAGTGTCAGGGAAGGTCCTCAGTGGGGCAAGTTGTTGCATGGATCCTTTCTGATGGTATTGTCTGTTTTGCTGCCTGAAACAGTTTCTTAAAATCCAAATTCACAGTGTTCTGGAGCAAATCAGTTCATTTCACACCTGCAGAAAATGATTGTGGCAAAAAGCAATGAGAGACTATACAGGAAGGAATGATATTTATTCATGAAATCTCCAAATAAGTTAACCAGTTATGATCTTTCTTTCATTCACTCTTCCTTTTATCCCCATCTTCAGCCCCAGGATGCATGTGCTGAGGTGGTCTGACTCACTTGTGTGTGACACAAAGGACATGGGATATCAAACCCTTACCACATCTCTTCGCATTTTCTTGATTGGAAACCATGGACTGACTGATTTTGGAGAGATGCTTTATACCCTCTAGGAGTCTAGTGTTGTTATGGGGTGGTCCTTTACACTGAATTGTCCTTTCTTTAGTCTCTGAGTCTCTAAGTCTCTTTGCTGTTTTTCTTCATTTATTAAAGACACATTTTTGTCAATATTATCTGCTTTCCTGTTGGGCTTACAGGCAAGAGAATGGCATATGTCACATGCTGTAATCTTGCTGCCAACATTCCACTGTTATGGTACAGGGTCTTCTGCTGACAAGGCACCTATGTTGTGGTCTTCCAGAGTCCAGACATTCTGTCCAGGCATGACAGATATGACTCATTTTAAAGTTTTATTGCTAGGAATGTTCTCTACTGTTAATACACATAATTTCTCTGACCTTCGTTCTTTCTTCTAGTGCTTACATTCAATTTCCATTCATATTTCATTTGTTTCTGTGATAATATTTCTATTACAAGTCCTATCCACGTTTTGACTTCACCAAGTTACTCTATGCTCACAGGTCAGTTATGAGGTAAGGCATACTGTGGTATAGCTAGGAATTATGCATTTTATGTCTCTGAAGCTCACTGGTTTGGTTAAGCACCTGCAAATCAAACACTTCTTAATTGTATTTTAAGGTCATGACTTAAATGCTGCTTTCTTTGGCTTCCCCATTATTGGGAACTGTGAAACTCATGTTGGATTTGTATTCTAAAATCCTTAGTTTGCCGATTTAAAGTAAGCTTGACTCTCTGTGCAGGATAGTAGCAAAATACAATGTCCATTTTGGGCTATGAGTGAGTTTCTTTAACTTGACTTCTCATTAGAAAGCTGATATTATCTAGCTACAATTGGTTTTTTAAGATCCCTCTTAGCTTACTGCAAAGTGGTATACGCATAGCATAATTCATCCACTGTGTCTTAAACAGTGATTCTGTTATTATCACAGAGAGGTAACTTTGCTGGACTAATTATAGGGGGAGCCTCCAACCTATGTTTTACCAAAAAAGTAGTTAGAATGTATTTTTTAACTTTGTATTTAAAATATGTGTGGTGCAGCAAATAATCTAAAACAGATGTAAATAGAAACATGCTATTATTCACAAGATCAGTGATCAGTGTTTGTGGAACCAAAAGGCAGATGACTTTTACAAACACATATCCAGTGGAAATGGAAGGAAATAAAGTTTGACTCATCTTCCCTAGTTTACACATTGAATCAATCTTATATGGGCCTATCTTCTTCAGTGACTTTGAACGAAACTGAATTTGACTGGTTGTTCCACCAGGAATGAATCCAGTTCCCTTTCTTTTTTCCTCTTGGAGTAGTCCTTTCTTTGTAGAACCACAGAATCATAGAATGTTTTGCGATAGAAGGGATCTTATATGTCACCTAGTCCAACACTGTCATTTACTAGACCAGGTAGCTCAAGGCCCCATTCAACCCATCCTTGAACAATTCCAGGGTTGGGGCATCCACAATTTCTCTGGGAAATCTGTCCCAGTGCCTCACCGCCATTATCATAAAGCATTTCTTCCTCAGCTCCATTCTAAATTTATCCTCCATCTAATTCCTGTTGCGAGGAAATTGAGTGCTCTGTCCAAGCTGAGCTGTTGCTGTGAAGCAGATTGCACATCAGCAAAAGCAGAAGTGATCAACTCCCAATCTTCCAAGTTCTGAGAGAAATGTTTTCCCAACCACAGGAGTCAATAAGAAAAAGATTCTGCAATTAAATATGCTATTTTATTTGTTGATTTTTTTAATTCAATGAAACAGTGAAAAAGACCATTTAGAAAACACCTTGCTCTATTGTTTCCAATTGTTTGAATGATTCTCTGTTTTTAAAACAAAGTAAGAATCTGATACAAGATCAGCCTATTGTAGCTAGTGATGAGGGATGCACACCAGAGTTGTGCCAACTTTTCAAAAGTCTTAAAACAAGACAGAAACCTTCAGTCTAAATGGAGGTGAGACTTAACTCAGGTTGTGAACTTTCATAGCACTGATCTTCCCACCCATGTCTTCCCACATCCAGCCCCCAACCTTTCAGAAACCAAGAATGTGATTCATCTCATCTTTTTCAGATGTCTAGTTGAGATGAGATGAATCATACTTTAAAAGTTCTTAATGAATTTTCATTTATCCTGCAGTTAGCATAAATGATTAGCATAGTTGTCTGATGTCATTTTGGCCATATGAATCCTACCCAAAAGTTTTATTGTATTATACTTTCCTTGTGCCCTAGCAATTAGCAAAAGTCGTTTAAGTAAAATTAAATGGGCCATTGTTCTATTCCCCATTCTTCCAAAGAAATCTTTTAAAGGAGGCAAGTATGATTAAGCAATGGCACTAAATTATTATTGATGGGAAAGACATGGAAAATCTTTCTGTTCCTCAGTTTTCTTTTCTACCCACTCTCCCTTTGCTCCCCACAGGTTACCCCCTATGTTTTTCTGCTCTTCTAAACCTTTTTATACTCGGTGCTGGTTTTTTGGATGCCCAAAGTCAGACTCTGATAACAAATACAATGTAGCCCCATGCATTGTAGCACATCTATATTTTATGTAGGCTGAAGTAGAAAAAGCTACTCCTTTCATTATTATAAGCTTCACTTTTGTAATGGGAAGAGCCTGCGTTACTGCTCTTTTGCTTTGTGGTTTCATACAGCTGTTGTGATAAAACCATGCAAACAAACAGCAAGCCAAGCACTCCACTCAGCACTGCAGAAAATGGAAGTGATCATCTTGGCTAGTACTTGCTTATACTGCAGCAGGACCAGGCTGCATTAGGACCCCCTGTGTGCCAACTACAGAGTAGCTGTGTGGCCAAAAACTGTACCTTTACAAGTGTACAGTGCTAATAAAGGGGAGAGAAGAGGATTGAAGCATACTATGATCTAATTTTCTCAAGGTCATGCGCTAGGTGAGCAGTGGAGCTGAAGAAAGCCCTGTTGCTGCAGTCTAGCCTACTCAATTGCTCCCATCATCATTCTAGAATACTCTCAGATCTTTAGTTTACAGATAGAAGCTTATACAGATGGTGTTTGGGTCAAGATTATTATAATGATGTCACCAAGAAACATTATTCAATCATTGTTCCTTGTCCACAACTAATGTTTTAAAGAAAATTTCCATTCTTGATATTTTCTTAGAATATTTTTTTGCTTCTTGTTAGTAGTCCCAGAATAATGGAGAAATTCTTCTATGCTGAAAAAATCATAATCTTTTTATCCTTGTAGTTGTCCTGGCAGATGCACATAAATAGTAACAGTGATCACCAGCTTTATCTCGAAATTAAATGAAGCTTTATTTTAATTATTTATTTTTCTAAATTAACTTCATGTGTATTGTTAATAGTTATCTTAATTAATCAAGTAGTGTTTCAATTTGAGATATAAATTCAGATGTTTCTTTTTGTAATCTGAAGGTTTGGCACTATCCATTAAGTAGTCCATTGTGTTATCTGACCTCACATCTTTTTGAAGCTAGAATGATAAACAAATGAAAATAATGTTAGAAAAAAAAATATTTAATTGACTCAAAAAATCCCTTATCTCTGCACGCAAACAGCTGCTAAAACACCTTGTGCATATTAAATATACCATCCCTTAATTTTTATTACCCAAGAAGTCTGAGTGATAAAATGCCAAATTCTAGGCAATTCATTTTTACTATTGCGTTTTACTGCTTTTTCTGTCTTTTGTCTGATTAAAAGATTTAAATGTTGTTATAAATTAAAGCAATCATTTTTCTGTTTATGTAATATGTCAGAGGCTAGGAAAAATAGGAAAGGGGAGAAACTGTCTTTTTTTCTTCCCCCAACATCTATTTTTTTTTATCTTCCTTTTCTTGAATCATATCAGCATATATTATTGACGTTGTTCCAAAGTTTGAGTGTTTGAGTGTTTATTTAGGAATTTCACATATCACTGGACAGAAGCTATATATGTACAAAGGACTATTTCTTTCTCAATTTATGTATCCATAGCCAAAGATGTTTGTGTCCTAGAAGAAAACACCATGATTTAAGTCTAAACATCTACATCGTCTCTGTTTTACTTTCACTGACCCTTCACTGTGGTACTCCATAAACTTGCAAAACCTTTAGTAGACCTCTCCAAGTATTCTTCAAATTGTGTGGACAATCAGAACACTTTTCATTTTGTTCTGATAGGTGGTGATGTATTTTACACCAACATTTAACAAAATAAACTTTAAGATTCATTGTTTTATTACTAGTCATCGCAAGTTGGAACATAAATTCTTGACATAGGCTGTACTGGCCCTCAGCGAGTGGGTTGTATAATCATCACTGGTTCAATTATTTTTGTCTCTACCTTCCTACAGTTGTAAATGACAAGGAATTTCCTTAATTTAGTTCTTTCCCTGACCTTTCAGGGAAAGTAAGTGTAATGACCCCACTTATGTTATTTGTATTTCTGTAAAAAATACTGTAAATGTATAGTGTATATGCTACTTTCCACTTCTCTTTAATGTTATATACTGTATTGCTAATGTTTTGTTTACAATATCTTCTCCAGGTCTGGGATTCAGTATTGCAGGAGGGGTGGGAAACCAACACATCCCTGGGGACAACAGCATTTATGTCACCAAGATTATTGATGGGGGAGCTGCACAAAAAGATGGGAGGTTACAGGTTGGAGATAGACTTCTTATGGTAAGTATGATAAATTTAAATCACATTTTATTTGGCTGAAAATTGTTTCATATAAGGACTTTCATTCACCATACATCTTTCTGGAGATAATGAGTAGAACTGCCTTAATAATTATGAGTTATATTTCCATCATATTCATTTTTCCCATTCTTCTTATATATTTCTGAGGCTGCAGTTAAAAAAGCATTACTCTGGAAAACCAACATTTTATGAAGTGAAGGCAATGGATTATATTACTTTGACAAGCTTTTAACAGAGAAGAGAATAAATGTATTATCCTCATCAGTGACAAGTCATAATGAAACATAAAACTGTAAAAGATTTTAGACAAACTACTTCGTATGGTAGAACTGATTCTACTGTTTGTTGTAAGTAAATTGAAAGATGTCAAAGCATGCCACTAAAGTTTCACACGTAGCCACTGTCAGTGGACTACTACCTACATTTCAGCACATGTAGGAATGCTTTATATGTATGTGCGTATAGATGTTAAAAAAAGCAAAACATTTTCCAAATTTTTGTTCAACAAGTGTTGTCATTCTTCTGTTGGAACTAATTTCCCACAATTCTTCCTGCTATTTGCAGTGCTGGTATGTTGTTTCTTGTAGATAATTCTTTCCCACCCACAGAGTTTGTTTAATTCTACATTGAGGGGGTAATCCTGACCCTGGTGAATCAGCACAAGTTAATCTATGTCAAGTTGTATTCATGTCAATGCATTTGCGTAGATTTTAGCATGTAGAGAAATAATTTTTTATCAAGTGACATGAAGAAAACATGTCTTTTGTGATGTGACATTTCAGCAGTAAAAAATTGCCATGACCCTTTCTGCTGCCTGCAAAGCTATGCCTAATTGAGGTTTTCTTTATTCGACTAGTGACACTGTGTTCCAGTCACATATGAAGATGACCATTCATTTTATACAGGGCAGAACTGGAAACGCATTTGCTTGCTGGGTTGCTGGGATGGGGACTGACTTTTTTTAATTAAACCAAGAGGTTAGATAAAACAGCTTAAGGAGCAAGTGGTGTTATCAAAGTCAAAGCAAAATAAAACTAGAACTTAACATTTCTTTGGCATTTTTTCTTTGCAGAATCTCAGCACAGTAAAATTCAAGTTACTGTTGCATAATGAAGTTTTGGCTTATTTCTCTGTAGAAATGTATATGTATATTTGCCAAAGTTACACCTTAGTTATTTTGCACATTGTAGCAAATCTGTTTCTGTTCAGCTGTTGTTTGTTTTGGCTTTTTTTTACTGATAAAAATTCCTTGCAATTTTTGTGTCTGTAATTTTTTGTTACTTTACTCTTAATTTTTTCCAATTCATGTGAGATAGTAAAAAATATATATTGAAAAAAACCCCTAATGAAAAACAACCAAACAGATGCAAACTCCCCATATTCACCCCCTTCAGTGTAATTTAATCAGGAATTTGAATAGAAATGTAATTATTCTATGTACTATGTATACTTAAATTCTTTCCAGATTTTTATAGGATTAGTCTATTTAGCATCTCAGACTTGAACCTGTGATTCACTACAGTCAGATATAGATGTTTCTTCATTGTGATGAGTTTATACTTGTGAAAATGACCAGAGGTCATTCTCAGTGTGTTTGATGTCTTTGTTCTTCTTTCAGTCTGGACCATTTCTTTACTTAATGTTATCTCCTTTTATCACTGCATGTAAAATGAGCAAAAAAAAGTCATTAAAAATACTGCTTTCCTCTAGTTATGTACTTCCAGACCAAGCTTTTCAGTGTTGCATAAGAAAATACTAGTCCGCGTACTCTTTGTGTACCTTAACTATTACAATTTTGAAGGTATATTTACAAGATCAAAATCTATTTTTAAAATTCATGCAGATTACAGCCATGTTTTCTGGTTCTCTCCAACAAGACTCTGATTTCTTTATAACTTCTGCACCTTCAATAATTTTCTGTCCTTATTTGTCGATTATCTGTCAGTTTATGACATTAGCTTCATGTTCCTTTATGAGTAGTGAGTGAAAGAATTAATTACTTTCTTTTGGCAGTCTATCAACACAATATTACCCTTGTCATCTATACAGTCCTACTTCTGCTTCACTGATTTCTTATTGATTGTACATTTTAACAGTTCTTCTTTTTTATTTTTTCTTCTCAGTAGGGCATTCTCTCTTGATCTTTGGCTTTTTCCATCATTTCTCTATCAGATTTACCAGATATCCTTCTGGAATTCTCAGCGACTGCTGGGGAGCTTGTTTAATTTTTGTATCTGTGTTCAGATAAGTTTGTGTGAAATGCTTTCAGATCCCAAAAAACGTGAAATCAAATTAATTCAAATTTAAGATGTAATAAAAGTGATGCTGCAGAATCAAAACTAATATTGAAATGTAAAATAGTAGGGGCCACTGGAGCATTTTGCAGCCTGATGACCGTACTGTGATTAAATGCAGATTGCTAATAGAGTGTTAAACATTCAGAAGATGTATTATGTAAATACTGAGCATTGTGATTATTGCGAAATCTATACAACGCTATGTTATGCAGTTATGTTTCTGTGGCACTAAACCTGCACTGAAGGCTTATTATCCTGAGCACTTGCACAGGAAAATTCTCCATTGTAGGATAATCCTGAGGTGCCCATTTGGAAAATTACTGGGGAATATATGAATGCTTAAGCCAAAAACTGAGTGGTTTCTCTAGGTATATATGAAAGTAAAATAAAAAGACTTTCTCACTGTATTCTGGTGGTAATGTCTGCTGGTAATGCTCTAGTAATGCCTGCTACTGGTAATGCCTGTGGTGAGAATACCACTGCACTGCTTGCTTCTCTTTGTGCTGGAAGGGAGCAAAAGTAAATCACATACAGAGCATCATAGGCCAATGTCGTAATTCAAGGTCAGCTATGGGGTCAGACAAGGTTGCTTAGAAATTTATCCAATTGAATCTCAGAAGTCTCCAAGGGTGGATGTTGCAGAGCCTCTCTGGGAAACCTCTTCACTGCTCAGCTGTTCTGAGGAAAATACTTTTCCTTATAACCTGTTTGACCCTCTCTTGTTTCAACATTTGCCTGCTGTCTCTCATCCTGTTAATACATGCCACTCTGAAAGGCTTCGCTCTGTCTTGATGATCTTCCTGTAAGCACTGGGGGTCTGTCATTAGTTGTCTCCAGAGGAACCCCTTTTCCAGGCTGAAAATGCCTAGATCCCCCGGCTGCTTCTCACCAGGCCAGTGTTCCAACCCCATCCCAGCAGCACACCTCTCAACTTACTTCCTTTTGGGGTTTTTTTCCCATAGCGTGGGAATCAAAACTGAATACAGTTCCTAGGTACAGTCTAATGAGTGGCAGCTATTGGGGAATAAGCCTCTGCTGGTTCTCCAGGCTCTACTCCTGCTTATACAGCCCAGGATGCTGTTGACCTTTTTGCTGCCAGGACACACAGCTGGCTCATGCCCAGCTTGCCATCCATCAGGAGCCCCAAGCACTTTTCCATAGAGCTGCTGCCAGGTTGTCAAAGCCCAGCCTGTGCTATTGATGGACGTTAGCCTGTGCCAGGGGCAGGACTTACTGTTTCTTCTGCCGAACATCATAAAGTTTTCTTCAGCCCCTTCTTCCAGTCTAAGGCAGTCCTGCCTTCAATACCTCACACTGAAGCATGATGAGAGCACACTTCTAACCTCTTCAGGGTCATTGTTAATGATGATCAGGAAGAGCTGAAAAACGGTTTAAGTTATTACATTTCAGATAATAAATATTTTCTTTTGTCTCATACCATCATCTTACTTTGGAAGAGTTATCTACAGAATGAATGAATGAGAAATAAATAACCTTGTATATTTTGTATATTTGGGCCATAACCTCTTGCTTCTTGGTCTATGTAGTCACAGAGATCAGGATTTAATTTGATTCTCTTTGTTTGGTGAAAATAGGAGGAAAAAACAGAAGTCACTTTCGTTTTCAGAAATTTAGGCTTTCTTTCTACCTAATTCTGTGCTGAAAAAAAGTATGTTTTTTTCTGGTGATTTCATAGGACTGCAGTGGGGTTGTGATTGTGCAGCTGTTGATGTGTCCCTTATGGGATCCCCTATGAGTATCTGTTTCTTTCAGAGTGTATATGAATACAGGATCACGTTTGTATTAAAGTAATCAGGGCATATAATTTAAGATACATCTAGATTAGCATTTAGTTCTAATTAGAGGTGTTCTTTTAAAATTATTTTGGCTGTCTTTTTTGAATAATCTTTTGTAAAAGAGTCCAACACCTGTACAACTAACTCATGTGTCCATGGGATTGTAAGTATTTAGTTAATCGAAACGGATTTACCTCCTTAGTAAAAATGATTGGTCCTCAGCACTGGAAAGCCTTTCACTTTTTGCAGCCTTTTAAAACATGGAGAGTTTTTAAAAAGGCCATCAGCTTTCTAGATTTACAGCTGGCACATTGCGGGTGTTTACCGGCAATATTCACTCAGGAAAATCCACTCTTTTTAGGAAAAGTCAAATATTACAGAAAAGCAAACATTACCACTGGTAGGCTATAAAGATCATCTCTTTGTCTCATTCACAGAGTGAATCTAATCTCTCTTAGCCTAAGTCAATAGAGGAAAGGAATGAATCCCCTTTAATAAAGGAAAATTAAATAAGACAGATTTATTCCTCCAGAGTTCTTATTCTCATATCAATTTATACTGTTGTGAATGAAATTATTCTTTAGAGCACTTGTACAGTCATTTTGGGGATTCTAAGCTTTTCTAGCTTTTTTCAGGGTCTATGTTTCCCAGTTTGAATCTAGGAAAACTTCCAAATAAAATATTCCTGTTTAGGTTTATACTTCATTGCCTTGATTATGCTATTTAGGAAGACGTCCACCCCAGTCTTTTTATATCTCTTTAGTACCATTTCTTAGTCATTTTACCGATCACTCAAATAGCTTCTTTGATTGAACTTGTTTCTTTAATTTCTTTCATACTGCTATGTTTTTTCGTTCTCTCATTCTTTTCTCATATTATGACTATGTCTTTGTATCACATACTTTCTATTTAAAGAAAAAGCTTTCCCAAATTTTTTTTTAATTTTTTACTTCTGGTACTGTTTGCATTTCTGAATTTTCATGGAACCTTTCCTGTTAGAAAAGCCCCACTTGCTCCATGCCTGTTTTCCTTCTGGCTCCTCTCCTTTGACTCCTGTTGCAGCATTTTGTGTCTCAAGTACCCAGCTTTGTAACTAACTTGATCAGTCAGATAAATATCTTTTTTGCCTTAGGGGTTTTCCCCCTAATTAATTTCTACTTAAGTTATCCTCTTAGATCTAGAACATTTACATGCAATGCTTGTTCTGCCTACTCAGATTGATGTCAGTCCTTCTGCACCTAAGATTCAGCATCTCAAGGGGTTGAATACCATATACACTTTGATTTCTGATTTTGTGCACATCTCCCACTCTTTATCTTCTTTACCTCTAACTCAGCTCTTTTTTGCAAACTATATGCAAATATATAAGGTCATCTCAACAGGAGGAAATAGAGCTTTGCTATGATGCATTTATTGTGCCACAACCACCAAAAAAGCCATATTTGGTGCTTGAAATTCTGTTAAAATAGGCAGCTTTTATGGAAACAAGAAATAGTCTCTATTGGAGATTCTGAGCAATTCTGCTCTCTCTATAAATCTTACCATAAAAACAACTACAACATCGTATTTCCTAATTATTATCATCTCTGGCTTAACATTTTAATGATATCCAGAGATTTCCTTATGAAAAAAATTAAATACTACAGTCATCCTGCAATAATATCTAGAGGCTGAACAAATAATTCTTCTAGATATTCAAGTTCTTTTGTATATCAGAATATGTACAGATGTCTTTATTTGTGATCAGTGTTTTATGATCAAAAAGTAGAAAATATATTCATACATGCACATGTGATTACTAATGGAAATTGTAGATCCAAAGCAAGGACTACCTTCTGAAGGAAACCTGGTGATGCCTTAAGCCCATAATGATTTTCTTATTTTTCTACCTTATAAGTTTTATAGGTAATAGAAGTAGATTTTAGAAACCCTTTCTCCCTCCTCCCCATAGTACCCTTTATTTTATACATTCCTTAATCATCTCACCCCATTCCGTACCCCCCTATCACCCTACCCCCATATCCAGTAGAAAATGTTCTGTCTCTTGTCAAGGCAAGCCTGTCTTGTTTGGAGAACACCTGTATCTTGGCCTAAACCGCAGGACGGAGTCAAGGAACTGGGTGACTCTGCTCTCTGTACCCCAAAGATGAGGAAGAATGATGAAGAGGGGGTCCCAAAAAGCCCCCAGACCCAATTCCAGGAGGTGGGCCAGGGGGTGGACCAGAGCAAAAGCCACGGGGAGGACACACTTGGGATTGGCCAGATATTGTTATAAATGTAACATCTCGGGCACAGCCTGGCGCGCGCTGTGTAACATCTATTGCCTTGGCAAGAATTAAACTCTTTCTTATCTCACCCCAGCTAAACGGCTCCTAGATTTTTTTTCGTAGCACCAGCAGAGCAGGCATCACTGGAAATGCATAGTATATTTTATATATTGCAATTCTAAATTGATGTTGGCAGATGACTAAGTAAAGAGGTCTTAGCTCCTTCTCAAAGACCTCCCATTTAAAGGAAACCTTATGGCACCACTGAGGATCTTTGGTTTTATGAATGAATCAACATGTTTCTTTGTTTATTTTCTCTTGACGTGTACATTGACTCTGACTTTATTTCTGTGTTTACTGAGAAATGAGCAGTCCAGGACAAAATTAATTAATAACAAACTTTCTTTCTAGGAGTGTTCTCTCTAGAGATAATATACCTCTGATTTTCTATACATGTAGGATGAGTTTGAGTAGCAATTTTGGTATATGTTGCTGGAATACTTTTTATAGCAAAACTTTGTTCACTTTGAATTTTGTCCTTTCATCTCATCAAATTTTCTTTCAGCATTATTTCTCTGAAGTTCTCATTTTCTGGTTTTCACTAATACATTACCTTCTTTCATGTTCTACCAAGTTCCAACTCTACATATTTCAGTTTTCCACAATATTCTGCATACTTAAGCTTATATGTACTAGAAAAGAGAAAAAAAAGTCACTGTACATAAATTTTGCAATGACCTATAGGATCTTTAACTGTATAAGGATAAACATAATGTAGAACTGCATGGACATTAAATCTTAGTTTAGAATTGTTTTGACTTCTAAAGTCTTAACTTCAAGATTTCAATAACTTGTACACCATGTTGGTAAAATTACCTGTTCTGTAAAGTTATTGTCAGAGATAAGGTATAGTACCTGTCATAGCAAATATAAGTTTCCTATGTATCATGCTTATTTTCTGTTTATAAAATGGCTATTTGTCCTCTGACTGCACAGCTGTGACATCCAAGTGTGTTGTGATGGAAGTCAACAGTCCTAGCCCTGATTTTTATCAGCTAGATTTCCAGGAAAAAAAACAAAACTACAAAACAACAAAATCCAAAAAAACCCAAAACCAAGCAAAACAAAAAAGCAGAAACAAACAAACAAAACTGCCTCAAATAAAAACTAAACAAAATAACAAAAAAACCACCACCAACAAAATAACACCACCTTTGGAAAAAAGTTGCATCACATCAATTTGTGTCTTAATTGTTTTTAGGCACTCCTAAAAAGACCAAAAGTCAAAATCCAGAAAGTGCTAAGATATTTCATTTTGTTTCTTTTTTTTTGACTAAGAACATTTATTTACAGCAGCAGTATAGTGGGTGAGATTATGTGAGATTTTCTCTACTTAGGATGAAACACAAAAAGATAGATACAATGTACAGACAGTGTGGGAAGGAGAAAAGGTAAAGGATAACCTTGTGGTCATATTTCTAAAAGTGTGAATCCCAAGTGTCTAGCAGTTTTAAATACATAAGCAAGAAAGTCTTAATTTCAGTCACTTCCTCTTGCTACCATCCTAGTAATTTAAGACATTTATTTATTAAAGTTGTATATGTAAGTTACTGCTGTTCATAACAAAGAAAAATAGAGAAATTTATGCAAGCTATGTGTAAGATTTTTATTTAAAAAGAAAACGTCAAAATACAGCATACAATGTCAGCAACTCCCTTCTGAGTGTTAGGCTGTATCATTACTCTTCATGTCAAATTATCATAATGTACCTGCCGTTGTCTCTTTCAATTAACTTTAAAAGCAAGTCTCAGAATTACAGAAGGAACAAAGTTTAAACAGAATCCTTACATTTAGCAGTACAATAGCAGTCATTCTTTCTTGTTGCTGGTGAAATCATCTGGGTATGAAGAATCCTCCTGTGATTCATAATAACTGGATTTCTTTTCAGTTACCAGACCCTTTGGCAGTAGCTTATTGTCACATCCAGCTTATTGTTCAGGTTTCTGGTAAATTATTGATACTAAATTCCCTAGAAAGAACAGGGTTTTTTTTTTTCTGTGATTTACAGTTATATTATAGTTGAGGAGCCACTTCTGCATAGCCTAGCCGTGAAAATATTGCATATACAACATTCACTGTGAAATGTAGGTCACTGGAACAGGCTCCCCAGGAAAGCACCAAACCTGCCAGAATTCAAGGAGTCGCTGGGCAATGCTTTTAGTCATATGGTTCAGTTTTAGGTAGTACTGCGAGGAGCAGGGACTTGGACTCAAAGATCCTTATGGGTCCCTTCCAACTCAAGGTATTTTATGATTCTGTTATTTCTGTTGGCTTACACTACATGTCTGAAACCTGTATCTACACAGTTTGCTTCTTTCCTTTTTCCTACAATTTCTCCATTCAGAATGTATTTTTTTGAGGCAGGGAACATTCACAGTTCTGTTTACAGGAAGTCAATCTGTTGACATTCTGTGGATATAGCGGATTTATATGTGAATAAATTATATATGCTTCTACAATAAACCACTTCTGACACTTTTTTCTTTCTGTGGGAGTAAAGCATAAATAGGCAAGGCTTATTGCCACCATTTACTTCCCTATTTCATCTGTAGTCCTCAGCTCTTATCCTTACTTAAGTATTTTTCTTTTCTAAAAATGCATAGAACCAGTATTACGTTCTCTTACTTTTTTCAGTGTCTCTTTCCTGTGCTTCCAGAAAACTGACAAACTTTCACATCAAAAAATCCCTTTTCCCCTTCCAGAACTGCCCTATTTAATTTTTTGCACCTCATAGATATTCTGTATACCACTTTGTACCCCTTATTATTTCAGTTGTTAATGTCATATCAGGGATGGAAAGATTTGGGGTGTTGGTATTTCTGAGGTCCCAGCCATGCATGCTAAAAGAGGATTTGGAAGTTCATCTTGTTAGGTCAAATAATGTAGACAGTTTCTGTAACTGATGTGGTGTTATTAATTTATTATTTAACATAGTTTTATGTTGATCATTATACCAGTAACAGAATATCACAAAGGACTTTTCTACTGCCAAGACCAAGTGCCTTCTGGAGACGTTATGATTCTGTGTATCAATACTGCTACATCAGTCTTTGAATATGCATGTGCTAAGAAAACTGTATTTTCTACCTTGCAGTAATACTGCTTCTGTAATCTGTAGTGCTCTTTGTCTACAGGGTTTTTCCCCAACATTTTTGAAACTGCAAGGCTGTGTCAGTTTTTGTGTCTATATCTGGGTTCCAACTTACCTGTTTGATTTCTCTTTCAAGGTAAATAATTACAGTTTAGAAGAAGTTACCCATGAAGAGGCAGTAGCGATACTGAAGAATACATCAGATGTAGTCTATCTGAAAGTTGGAAAGCCCACCACTATCTACATGACCGATCCCTATGGCCCACCAGATATTACTCACTGTAAGTGACTTCTGCAACTCATTTTGTAGGAGTTATCAGTTAATGACTGTGTTTTTTCATAGCTTGTTCAAAGTACCCCATTAAAGTTTATGAATACCTTGGAAGACTACACAAACGAAATGTTTATTGCCACTTAAGTACGCTCATGAAATATTGCAAATAATATCACTGCTAAAGTATCTTTGCAGCAAAAGTTACAATGTAGATGATGTATGGCTGTGCTGATTCCAATTAGCCATTGTGCAGGTGATCAGACTGAACTGTAACTCTTGTGACAATTACAGAAACAAGTATATGCAAATGTATTTTGAAATATGATTAGATTTGTAGCCTGGAGTCCTTTGTCCACTGAAAAATTGGAACAAGCAGCAAACTGCCTTGAAAAAACTTAGTGAAAAGCCTGAGGCAAATATATATTTGAACAAAATATTAATTGCAACGTAAAAAACACTGCTCTACTTACAAAACTTTATCTGTTTTCTCTGTATATCCAATTCATGGAGTCACTGAATGTTTTGGGATGGAAAGGTCACCTGGTTCCAATCCCCCTGCCATGGGCAGGGACACCTACCACTAGACCAGGTTTCTCCAAGCCCCATCCAACCTGGCTTTGAGAACTTCCAGGGATGGGGCATCCCACAACTTCTCTGGGCAACCTATTCCAGTGCTTCACTACCCTCATAGTGAAGATTTCAAAAATTATTGTTCCACTCTGCTTTATTATCAGTTTGCCCATTAACTTTATATATGTTCATCTGGTATTTTTCACAGATAACCAAGGCCTTGTTTGTCCTTGCATTCAATGCACAGTCTGTTGTAGGAAAAGATGTTGAAACAATTGTAAAAATCAGTGAGGATTTTTACTTCATAGGAAGGGAAGATGACTTCATTTAAAAATGAACTGATTTCAATCAGGCTATCATATCCATGCACTCAAAATTGTATAGGCTCATATCCAGCATTCAGGTAGAAAGATGTGCATCCAGGTGCATCCCCAGGACTCCCTGAAGTGACAGTGTACAAGGTTGGTTGGGTGGCTGTGTAGTCCTTATCATAAACATATACCTTCTTATGTTGACAACCTCCTTGCCGATGTGTTTTGTACTCTTACAGAGATGACAGCAATAAGGATCTTCTGTCTCTCCCATCTGTCCTACTTTTGCCTGTTTTCAGGATTTACTCACTTCTCTCTTGTCTCCTTATCTGTGTGTCCTAGACTCCAACCTAGCATTTATCTCCCACTATCATCTCTTAATGGCTTGAGTATTTGTTTTAGTTTGGGTGTAGGCCTTCCTGGCAAGTTACATTGAGTATTGATAACCTATTGATTAATCTAGGTTTATCAATGCATGTCACTCTTATACCCCTTCTGTCAGTCATCCTGGTGTCCATACGCAGGCATTCCCATTCTCTTGTAATTCACAACAATCTTAACATTTCAGTTACAGTTCTCTATACCACTGGTGCCCATTAGTCTAAACAGTTCATTACTGAAACTCCCTTTCTTCATTTAGTTGTTCATTAAAAACTGCCTGCCTTGGGTTCAACTACCAACAGGGACCAACTGCACCATCTAACAACTGGATAGCAATTTAATTTTTGACAAGAGCTTCAGCAACTGATCCATACCATCTTGATGTCCTGCCGATAATCCTAGGGGCACTTAAGGCCAGCTAAGGGCAGGGAAGTTAACTAAAGGTAGTAAATGCTAAAGATTTATTTTTTTCTACACTTTTGTATAATGTTGCTACCATGGACAGACAAAGTTGAGGGAAAAGCTAAATATCCAAAATCCTCCTCACTCAACTGCTCCATAAAAATAGAAGGGAAGGTTTTGTAATGTGCATATCAGGTGGTATGCTCAACTGTGCTGAGGATACCTATTTAGTTAGCAAATGTTACAACAGATGGCAATCATGTTGTTCAGTAGCAGTCTGGTCTGGATTCTAGCAAAGCCCAGGAAGTAAAAATGCTAAATGTCCCTATCCAATCTCCTGTTTTATAATACTTTCAAAATAATAATTTGGGAGTTCTAAAACAGTATGTTTTATTATGTCAGATTATAGATCAGCAGCATATGAGAAGACAGAAGTAATTCCAGAGGGAAAGTAAAGGTTGAAGAGATTTGCAGTAGCCTTTCCCAAGCTGTTGGTGCATAGAGATTCATTTGTCCTCAGGGAACCTTTCATTATACCTACATGTTCTGAGTATTTCAGAATTCATTATGGCCTTTCCCTGTAGAAAGATTTTGCTTTGAAACATTCTGTATCTCAGCATCTGAAAGAAAGACTAAAACTAATAGTAGAAAGTTTAGCTGTTGTCTTCTGATGAGAAAATTAATCATAGCTCATTGCAGAAATATTTTTATCATTTTTCATATTTATAATTTTCTTTTCTAATTAAATTAATTAAAGACAAAATACAAGTATCATGGCATCTCTCCAGTCATACATATCCCAGATAACTTCAGAATATCAAAAAGCAAGCAAGCAACAAAACCTAAAAACTCAATATAGAATTAGACAACACAGTCCTATGATTTTCGTCATTAATGATTAATATTAATATCCATTTTCTACTTTAAATATACAGATTTACTGTGGTCTGAATACTATCTATGTTGATAGGAAATTTCAATTGTACTGCAGATTTGGGCACCTTTAGTGGATCAACTTTGACTCTTCACTATACGTAATTCTTGCCATACATAAAATTCCTGCTCTTATTCTGCTTTGAGCTCTTACTATATTATTCCCATTGCTGTATATTTGAGCCAAAAAGAGGAGTGTGCTTTTAATCTTATTCTTTCCTATTTGCATTTGCTTCTTCAAGTTAGTCCTAAGTAAAGAAAATGTATCCTGTCTCCCAAATAGGAGAGCTTATTCAGGTCCCTTATTCAGAAACTGAATATCCTCTAAAGAGTCAATTCCTGATAATGAGCCACAATTAGTATTAGTATTAGTCTTATTTTCATGAAAACTCCAGTTGTTCTTTCTTTCTTGTTATATTTTAAGCTCTCTCTGGCAATGATTGTTTATTTTGATCTTATTTACAGCGCTGTAACGTTCCTGGTACTTAAAAAAATTACGTTCTTGTGATGTCTAATGAAACATGAAACTTGCTAACTAGAAATGCTTATTTTTACCATCAGCTTATTCTCCACCAATGGAAAATCATATACTCTCTGGAAACAATGGCACTTTAGAGTACAAGGCATCCCTGGCCCCTATCTCACCAGGAAGATACTCACCCATTCCAAAGCACATGCTTGTGGAGGATGACTACACCAGGTCAGATGCTTCTCTTTATTTGTTACCTTTCATGACAATTGCAAAGGACATAGGTAAAGCATTCAGTGCATCTCAAATAGAATACAGCATATAGTTCTTTTCACCCATCTTCAAGGGAAGATGAATTGAAACTGTTACAGGTATGAAAAGCACTAAGAGAAAGATCACAGAAATGAATTCTGACCAGAGGTCCATGTTATCTGGGTGCAATCCCGCACAAGTTCCTAAACAGCATGGCTGCACTAGAACAACCTGGCACTGAGCAAAATATCCTGCTTCTTAACACAACTAGGAGATCTCAGAATCAGTGACTTGTCTGGCTCACTGCACTTAGGGGTGGAGGGATGTATGGGCATTTGTACCGTTCTGTGTGATGGTACCGATCTGTGACAGTACCACCAGAAGGTCCAGATTGTTTATTTTAGTGAAAGGGAGGTTGAAATATACTGTGTATACACATTGAAAGATTAATGTTATGGAGAAAAACCACTGTGGGAAAACAAAAAATGTATAAATGGGCTGCAATTAAATAAAGGAGGGAAACTGTCAAGTTTCTGAACCATTAGAACATCATAACATGAAACAGTTTTCTGTAAGAGCATAGAGGTTAAAAGGAAACTGTTTATGCAGTGGCACTTGATACCTTTATGCAAGGGGTTCTTTGATGTGATTATCGGCAAAATGAACCTGGAAATTTCTATTAATCTTTATGGAAGTACAGTAGCAGAATTGTATCTATGTAGTTGATTTTCACCTAGGAGAGATACATAGGAAAATGCTGAGGGGGTTCTTTTATGCCTTGTATTAGATGAACATGAATGTCACTGATGAAACATTTTTGTTTGAAGAGTGCTACCTTCACCTAGAAGACAGCAGTTGTTCAGTTTGTAACATGAGCCTTCATTATAATGTTTAATGCCACAGAAAATGAGATATTATCTCTTTTCTGTGCAAGGAGGGGACTGTTCTGATCCTCTAACCTGGCCTGCTATGTTTTGCAAGCCAAAGAGTCTCATCCACTTATGTATTTGTCAGCTTCATAACTTGCTAATTTGCATTTCATTTTTCTTGTTGCATATGATTACATTCTCAAGCTAGTTAACTTGTTGGATCAGACAGATTCAGACTAACTAAATCATACAGTGCTTAATCAGGACATAAATGTGCGGAAACCACACCTTATGTCCCTGTCTTGGCTAAGAGAATTTCTCCTGTTTTTTGATTGAGTATGCAAAGCTGCAGTTGTTTTCCTTCAACTCATGAGACATTCAATTAGGATGAATTTTCTCCAAAGGCTTCCAAGAAGTTACATTTTTAATTAATAGTTAAAATATTGATCTCATTAAATTGTGCATCAAGGTTTTATTTGGTCTAGTTATAATAACTTTTTAAACACCCATGTATAGGAAGAATATCAGTATTACAGTATCTGGATTACAATGATGAAGGCTTTGTCAATAAGCCTGTAGTGCTGAATTGTCTTCTTCTGCAATGAGATGTCAGCACCATTATTACTGAGAAATAGTTATCAAAGTTTAAAACCAGAAAAGAAATACAACCTTAAAAGTAAATAATAGCTAAGGAGGTCAAGAACTCCCAGAAAGTGAAGGAAGTAATCCTTAAAAGGGATAAGCTGCCCTGACAATTGAAAGACCATTTAAACAATTAAAAGGCTTGTATGATAATGAAAAGTCCTGTGTTTTTTTATGTAGCTGATTTTAACTTTTTAATTACTTCTACCAAAAAAAAGAAAAAATATAGAAGGGAAGGTAGTGATAGTCCTATCCAATAATTTAGCAGATATCCAGTAGAAAGCCTACTTGCTCAAAGAACCCTGCAGACGATGTATTGAAATTAGTTAGTATGTCCTTTTGATCTTCTTTTTTGGCATTTCTATCTTGATACTTTTAATGTGCTTTTAAACAAGTTAATTTCTTGGTTTAGCTCCTGAGAGTAGAATAAAATACTGACACAGTCTGTTTCTTGACTGAGGTATTCACACCAATATCCATTTTGTATCCATTTGAGGGCAAAAATGAATGCCCAGAGAAGTTGTGTGTGTTCTGTGAAACAATCCTCTCTTATGTTCTTTTTCCTATCTGGATTTCCAAATTAGTGGGTTGTCTAATGAAGGTCTGATATCCAAAGTCTTCTTGTGGCATTGGCACTATTGACTGGAGAGACTGACTCTACAAGCATGACCTTCTGTGGCAGGTGTGTGGCACTGGAAGAAATAAGGGTGTCAAGTGATAGGAGCAGTCTCTGAATGCCACAGAGCAAATCAGATGGAAATCTCGTATTTCTGAACAAGTGTTAACTTTGACCTATTGAAAAGGAGGAGGCTATTATGAACTTCATTTTATTAGTGATAATAGCCTATATGCTACACTGATACCCAGGCAACAAAAGCACAAAGAGAAAATTAATGTAGTCATAAGACAAATGACACTTCTTGCCATTGCATTTCCTCACTGGACATACATCATATAGCACTCTCTGAGAGACACCCAAACAAGAGCCAGAGACCGGTTTTCTCCTCTGACTACAACAATTAAGAAGTTCTGACCTTCAAAACCAGACCATTTAACCCTTGAATGCTGCCGAGACTGTTTTTTTAATGTCTGTTTATCTATTTATTGCCTATTGATTCAAGAGGGACTGCTGAAAATGCAACAGTTAATCTCACAGTGATTTTCACAGCTATAGACTGAGAGTAGTGAATGTACTCTCTCTGTCCAATGCCATAGGATTTGCTGATGAGTCTGCCATTAAAATAAGAAGATATTTAGAAAGTCTTTGTTGCTGACCAGTTTAGAAAATCTTTTGGTAATTGAATAATCATATTGATAATTTTAGTAAAGCCTATAGGTTCCTTGATTGCAGCATTTATAATTAGGTTTTCTCACATAATGTTTTATAATTAAGATGTTTGCCAGCTACTGCAGTGCTATCCATTAAAACTACCTGCTTCTTGCTGTAATAGGTTTACAGGGCTAATTTAAATTGTGCTTGCATAAGGAAATTTATTACCCGTGCAGTCTTGCAACACTTCTGGCATTTGTGCCAGCTAAAAATATTTGGAACAGTAACTTCTCCACTAAAAAAGGTTTTTGAAATCTTGAAATTCTTTGCATAAGTGATTTGAGTGAGGCTGATGACAAGCTTTCTTTTAACTTACTTGTGATAATGAATCTATCAGTATAGCTTAAATGGTTGAACATTCAACTCAATTTGCCCACTTTCTCTTGCTTCTCTTTTTGCTTTGATATTTTTGTTTGTTTGTTTGTTCCAGTTCTAAGGTCTTTTTACCTAAATACTTCTATTTTGCCTAACAAAAATAAGTGTTTCTATTGATAAAAAATTGTAATTTTTTGTCTAATATTGAATTTGTGTCTGACAAAAATTCAGTATAAATTTTACTCGGTAAAACTCTGGGGGAAAATGGCCTAATCTGAGCACAAAGGATTAAAAAGCAACAAATCATCATCAACCACAAGTTTCAATGAAGCTGGATGTTGTCTTTGAATTACTGAGCTTTTTGAAGTTGTGTGTATTATTGGTCCAAAATGCTATCAGTGATGAGCATAATTCTTGATTTTCTGGATTTATTTGAAATTCACTCAGGATGGAAATTTTTCCTTTTCAATTTTAAATAAAATAACAATTTCAGGTTAGTAGAATGTGGGATCAAAAGTGGATAAAAACTATATGGCAAGTAATGCTATCAGTACAATGATCATCACGCTGAAGGTAAGATCTTGATTGTTTTAGTTTCTAGTAAGATTAAATTGTTGTGTGGGCAGTGCAGGGGATTCCTTGAATGTGTTTCTGACCATTTCCTGATGATGCTAGAGGGGAGAAGCAGGATTAATTCTCTGCTTGACCTGCTGCTTACAACAAGGGAAGAACTAGTGTCAAAGGTGGTGATAAATAACAGCTGGGATCAGAGTGACCATGAGTTGGTTCAGTTCATGATTCAAAGGAAGTCTGGAAAGATATTCAGCAAGTTATGATTGTTAAGACTTCAGAAGAGCAGACTTCAGCCTTTTTGGAAAGCTGCTTAGCAAAATCTCTTGGGATGCTGCCACAGAAACATAGGGTCCATGAAAGATGGATGATTTCTAAATAAAACTTATTGAGAACTCAGAAAGGAACCATCCTGTTGAGCAGAAAGGAGAGGGATTCAGCAGAAGGCCTTTTTGGCTAAGCAAAGAGCTTTCTGATGACCTAAAATGAAAGATATAAGCAAGCATTGCTTGACTGCTTAATGACAAAATGAGAAAGCTGATCAATGTGAGCTAAGACTTAAAAGTGTCATAAAGGAAAACATAAAGTGATTCTGCAGGTGTGTGCTACTTTAAAAAATGAAGGTAAAATCTGAGGAAGGAAAAAGGTTTTGAATAGGGGGCAAGACAATGTACTGGCAGATAATATAGAAAAAGCTGAAGCACTCAGCTTCATCTTTGCCAGGCACTTAAGGGACCAGAAGGTAATTGGGATAGTCAGCATAGATTTACTAAAAGCAATTTGTGTGCTTGTCTAGACTGGTTGCTTTTCCCAATAAAATGACTAGCTGCTTGGATGAGGTGAGAGGAGTGGCTGCCCTATACCAAGCAGTGCCACAGCACGGGTGCTGCCCTGAGCAGGGATGTCTCTTTGCTGAGTGAAAACACAGCTGGCTCCAAAGTCATACATGGCCCATGTCATAACTCCCACAAATGTGCATGTGGAATCTGCTGTGGGGCACATGATGAGTCCTCTTCTCCACTAGTTGCCACACTTCTTTTGTGGGCAGGAGAAGCTATAACATGGGGAGCATCCTTTAAAACTCTTCTAACAGCCTCTCATCCAAACATAAGGAAGTGTTGGATGAACATGGACAACTAAGCATAACTGGAAAGAAGATATGATTTGTAATGGTTTGGAAACCTCCTGGATAGCCTTTTGGGTATCTCCTGGATTGTGTGCTGTATTACCTTGCTCGATAGCCTTCTCCCAGC